GATTGATTCTGGGAAACGAGTTGTCGTCTTTATGGACTCGAACGCAGACCCATCTAAAGTTGATTTCATTCTTCCCCAGTTCGATATGGTGCGTCTTTCTATGTGCAGTGTGGTCCGAATCACCAGCTCTAATTGTATGATAGGTCTGGGAGCCGCCTTTCAGCCAGACGGATGCCAGTTTCCCTTGCAAAGTCGACCGTATTACCGGAAGCCTTTCGACCGCTGATCACATGTACATGCTGAACCACAACCTCAATACGGAGGTCATCGACATTGGAGATGGAATTCTCGTCCCTGATTTCCTTGATATCGACAAGACCAACTCTCTCGATTCGATCCTAGGCCGATGCCAACGGTTGTGTCCCCGTCAGCGAGAGTAACTCCAAACCCAATTTTGTGATGCTTGACTTTGTCAATAAGGGTGATGGTGTGAAGGTGGTTGACCAGCTCAACGGGTTCTGAGCTGTAGGTAATTACAAATAGCAAATAGGTACCAAGGAGCTTCGTAGGATATACTTCAGAGTAATTTTACATAATTTATTGCCGACCAGAAAATCAAGGGCTGAGTCCTTGATGCAGGCAACTGATCTTCCCACTGTACCACCACCACCACTACGATGGTCTGTCTTTCAATCGATTCTCGTGTTTGCTTATCTTTAAACATGTCTGTAGTCGTCACGACGTTTAGGAAACAAGCGGAAACGCGACGAAGAGGACCTCACGCCATCTTCTCCACCTGCCCAAGACGCGCTTGCCGACTCTGACGATGACAACCTTCCTCCGTCTTCCCCTCCTCGAATGTCGGATACAGATGATTCCTCTGTTGATGAGCGGGACGCTGTCCAAGATATTGATGGCGATCTCGAAGACGAAGAGGACGGAGAGGATTTATTTGGCGCAGAGATGTTTGAGTGAGTCTCATTGTGCCCTTTTTGTTTTCGCCGATTACTCCATAATTTACGCGTCATTTCCAGCGATTATGATCATAATGCGCGTCTTGACACGTATTCTGACACTGGGGTGGACGATGAGGAAGTTGAGGAGCTGACTGCGCAACAGCGTCGCCAAGCAGAAGCTGCTTTAGCGCGTCGGGACCGATTGGAACAAGGGAATAGGCGTGGACGACGCGCTGCTCAACGTTCGCGAATGCCTACCTTCCTTGGAGATGACGAAGACATGGACGCCGACCTCGACGATGACGAGCTCGGCCTGGCTGACATGAAGCAACGGACCCGTCGCCAATATGATGAGCGCAGAGATGCAGACGATATGGATGGCATCGAGGATGTTTGTTTTTCTTTCTTTCTTTCTTTATTGTATCACAAGCATTGCTGACTCGCCTGTACGCTTAGGAATTGCCCATGGAACAACTGAGCGACATTAAAGCAAAGTCTATCGTTGAATGGATTGCGACAGGACGCGTTCAGAGAACAATCGTTCGCCATTTCCGTCAGTTCCTTATAACCTACGAAGATGACAACCGCAACTCGGTCTACGGCCAAAGAATTCGCTCTCTTGGTGAAAGTGAGTAAATAAATTGCTCCGATATGGATCTACACTTAAGAGCACGATTCCCCAGCCAATTCTGAGTCTCTAGAAGTCTCCTACATGCACCTTGCTGTAGCGAAGCCTATTCTAGCCTATTTCCTTGTCAACGCACCCGCTGCGATGCTTGCCATTTTCGACCAAGTCGCTTTAGACACGATACTCATACACTACCCCCAGTACAAGCGCATTCACACTGAGGTTCACGTACGCATTAGCGAGCACCCGTACCTCTCTTCGTTACGCGACCTTCGGCGGTCTGACCTCAACAATTTGGTTCGAGTTAACGGTGTCGTGACCAGACGAACGGGAGTGTTTCCACAACTCAAACTAGTCAGATTTGACTGCAAAAAATGCGGCGCGGTTATTGGCCCTTTTCCTCAAGATGCGACCACAGAAGTCCGTATCAGCCTGTGTCCCAGTTGCCAGAGCAAAGGTCCTTTCCCCATCAATTCTGAGCAGGTAAGTGCCATCTTAGGAGCTAATATTGGCGTACAAGCTTACCTTCCTACTCTAGACGGTTTACCGAAACTACCAGAAGATGACTCTTCAGGAATCCCCGGGTTCAGTACCTGCAGGCCGTCTTCCCCGTCATCGTGAAGTTGTTCTCCTTTGGGATCTCATCGATACCGCAAAACCTGGGGAAGAAGTGGTCTGCTAATTTGATTTTTCTTCGTATCTGTTGAATTCAAACCCATGACTAGGAAATAACCGGAATCTATCGTAACAACTTTGACGCTTCTCTAAATTCGAAGAACGGCTTCCCCGTCTTCTCTACGGTTATAGAAGCGAACCATGTCAACAAAAAAGAGGACATGTTTGCCGCTTTCCGTTTGACGGAGGATGATGAACGTGAAATCCGTGCCTTGTCCAAAGATGACCGTATTCGGACGAGAATCTTCAAGTCCATTGCTCCTTCCATTTATGGACACGATGATATCAAAAAGGCTATCGCCCTTTCCCTTTTCGGCGGAGTTGCTAAAGATGTGAACCACAAGATGACCATCCGTGGGGACATCAATGTGCTTCTTCTTGGGGATCCGGGCACAGCCAAGTCTCAATTCCTGAAGTACGTCGAGAAAACTGCGCATCGTTCTGTGTTCGCCACAGGACAAGGTGCTTCCGCTGTCGGTTTGACTGCGAGTGTCCGCAAGGACCCTCTTACGCGAGAATGGACATTGGAAGGGGGAGCGCTCGTGTTAGCGGATAAAGGTACCTGCCTCATCGACGAGTTCGACAAAATGAACGATGCGGATCGAACATCCATTCACGAGGCAATGGAGCAGCAGACTATTTCCATTTCCAAGGCAGGTATTGTCACCACACTGCAAGCAAGGTGTGCTATCATCGCAGCTGCTAATCCCATCCGTGGACGATATAACCCAACTATCCCGTTTCAGCAAAACGTTGAGTTGACCGAACCAATCTTGTCTCGTTTCGATGTTTTGTGTGTCGTGAAAGATGCGGTGGACCCGGGGAAGGACGAACTGCTCGCCAAATTTGTAGTAGCAAGTCATTTGCGACATCATCCTTCGTTTGACCCAGAGCAGGACGAGATCGAGGTTTCAACCACCCAAGATGCAGATGTGAGTTTGCGTCCTTTTCGTAGCTCGGTTAAACCATAGCTTACTGTTCCACTTAGATTATCCCTCAAGATCTCCTGCGCAAGTACATCATGTACGCTCGCGACAAAGTCAGACCTAAGCTTTTCGATGTTGACCAACAAAAACTTGCTGGTCTTTTTGCTGATCTCCGTCGCGAGTCTCAAGCGACGGGTTCGTTCCCCATTACCGTTCGTCACCTTGAAAGCATGATTCGTATGGCCGAAGCTAGTGCTAAGATGGCTTTACGAGAGTATGTGAGGCCAGATGACATTGATTTGGCCATCTCGGTTGCCGTAGAAAGCTTTGTTAGCGCTCAGAAAATGAGTGTGAAGAAAACGCTTCAAAGGGTGAGCCGAAGCTGACTTCATCGGGAATTCACGCTGAATGCTTTTTCTTTTCCTAATTGCTTTAGGGATTCCGCAAATATCTTACTCTAGGCTAAGGACCACGAAGAGCTTCTTGCTTATCTTTTGGGTCAGCTTGTTAAAGAGAAAGCCCATTTACACCAACTCCAAAGGCACGAGCAGCCTGAACTCGTTTCAATCAAGCTGTCCGACCTTGAGGAAAAGGTCAGTTCATCAATACACCATTTTGTTTCAACTATTCTCATCCACTTTTCTAGGCGAAGGACCACGAGATTTATGACGTGCATGCCTTCTTGCAATCCAAGCTATTCCAAACCAATGGCTACGTGAAGAATGGACAGGTCATTGAGAAGCGTTTCAAGAAGAATTCGTAGGTATTTACTAATTGTTGTATAAAAAGTTTTCTAGTATTATATATATTTTGTGCTCCTGTTGGGTTTGCGATGCTCAGTGGGCAGCTTGCTAAGCATTCATTTCGCTCTTTTGTCGACCAACTGGATGGTAAATTCTAATTTTGTGAAAGAGTGGGGGTTACAACATGGCTAGACGCGTTAATGAGCAGGAGCTGTCTGCTTTTCCGTTCCACTCTCAGGGTGTGACGTCGGGAGAGGAGCCTCTGCAGGCGGATTTGCTTCTGTTGCTGTTGTTGTCGAAGCAGGTACTGCGGCTTCATCCGTTGCGGTTGTGGGTTCTTCAGCTCCTGCAACTTCTTCGTCTTCTATAAAACATGATCAGTTCCATGCGCCAAGGTGAATGTTGAAAAAAAGGATTATATACCACCGTATATATCCGGGTGTTCTCTAAAACACTCTTGCATTGCTCTGAAATGGTCCACACAGTTGATACCCTTGGGTTCTGCTTCAGAGAAGACAAAGCACGAGAATGCGGCTTTGAACTTTTCCCCGCACGGTCCTTCTGCCATTCCGCCGAGACAAGGACAGTCCCAGTTGATTTCTCCTGTTTCGGGGTTGAAAGCAGCCTGTCCTGAAGAGCCACCTTCCTTGCTTTGACTTTCATTGGAACCGATCTTCTGTTACACTCTCCGGTGTACCTTCTGGTGAAGGTGTAGGCGCGTCGGAGAGCGAGGGAGAAGCTGGAATAAGCTATGAGCATATTTATTTGACAGATGAAATGTCAGAAAACGTACAACCAGAACTATCCAAGTGAATCGTCTTATTTAGTGTGGCATAACTTGCAAGTCCAGCAGCCGCAAAAACGGCAAGGGAGAGCCCAGCATATCGTGGAGAGTGGCGAAAAGATAAGGTGTTCGTGTGCACCAATCGTTTTTGAAGCAAATGGGAAGGACGTAGACGGGCGAACATGGAGGAAAGTTCTGAAAGGTTGGATGAGTAATGGAGACATGACGGTTGCCGAGTTATATAAGTTATTTTTCTTCCCTCCTTCAAGGAAAGCTCGGCAGCTTACATGAGAAAGAAATAAGGAATGTTTACATACTAGCCTTCCAGTAGGATAAATAAAAAAATGAAGCTCCTACCAGGGTTCGAACCTGGGTTACGGGAAAGTGAGCAAGCTTCAAAATCCCGTGTGATAGCCTCTACACTATAAGAGCGTTGCACAACTGGATGCTTCATTATATATATTAAGATGATGTATGACTAACAGTGAAGAATTCCACAATCAACATTATGTCAGAGGAGCTGCACGCAGCGTTGCGATTATTAATACTTTAAGAGGGCATCGGATGACATTGATCACAATAAGAATTGCAGGACTCTATCCTATTTAATCCTTTACATAGACAAGAAGTAGAGCCTTTAGAACTGTAGTTTGTACTGGGTCTCTGATAGTTTTCACCTCCATGTATCGTTCTCGGTGTAGGTACCACTTGCTGGGACATTAAGGCTGCGATTAGGATCTAGCTACGGGTAAGCATATTAAAACTACAGATTGAAAATCAAAGGACGTACCGCTTTCCCAGGTGACTGCGCCATTGTATTTGCGAATATATTTCCATTCTACCGTCGTAGAGGCAGGCAGGTTGACTGTGACTATTAATACATTAAAAAGATGGTCATCTCGTAGGAGGTCAATGAACTCACTGCTCCAGGTAGGATAGTTTGCTGAGGAGAGCAGAAGGGCATTGTCTGGGGACCAGTTTGCGAGGGCATCGACTGACCCCGTAATGTAAATATTTTCTGGGTGATCGTAAGTAAGCAGGTAAAGCAAAGGAAAGGCTGAATTTACCTCCCCACACCTGTTGTTGCTTGGACATTGAACGTCACCGCAACTGTTCCGCCGCCTCCTCCTCCACATGTTGTCGGAACTGTCAGCCCACTTGCTCCCCACGAAGGTCCGAGTAGACTAGCTCTACGATTGAAAGCTGTAAGAGCTGCCGCGTACGACCAAGTTAGATCGACAGCCGACACCGGCGTGCCTGTACTTCCAGAATACTGTTCTGCCAAACCTCCATTGCTCGGGGTATACTTTGCCACGAATGCGACAAAGTCGTCAGCGTATGTTTTGATCGCAGTAGTGAGGGTTGTATACGTGGCGGAAGTTGACGAATAATTTCCAACCGCAACGCTGGAGCTGAATGACTGGAAGAAAGCCAACGACGTAGATGTTACGCTCAAGCTACCCTGTTGGTTCCAGACATACAAGGCATCATAAAGCTAAACAATGCGTCAGTTGCAGGCCATCTATGAAAGGGGAGACAGTCACTTGTTCTCCAGCTGCCAGAGTGGTCAGGTACCAAGGCTGTAAAGAATTAGCGATATGACCAAAGCAACAAACAAACAACATGCATTTTTCCCTTGATATGAGTCCTAAGTAACGAGTGAGCTTGCGAGACTTAACTTATAGAAACAAATCAAACGTACTTCAGGATAGCGGCCTGTGGCGACACCTCTATTTGAAGCAACCCCCGAATTGATCGTGTAAATCGACCTGAAAGCATCGACATATACTTTAAGGTTGGCCAGGGCCTTATCTGAGCAAGGCTGGAATGTGACTGCATCGCATCCCGCAGCGGGGTCAAATGTATGGATGGACGTTAAGACAGTGTTTGCGTCTAGACCAATCAGTAAGAAAAAATAACAAACAGAATATGAGTTTTCACCTTTACCACTCCGCCCACCACCAGTGTTAGCAGTCATATACCCGCCAGTGTTCCAGTAGGACTGTTGAAAACATAGGACTTTGGGAGCCTCGGTCGTATATGTAGTGGCACTTTGTCCAAGACTGGTTGCGAGAGTAGCACATTGTCTGAGAGCACGATGCTGGACAGCTGAAGATATCCTAAGAACAGAAGGCCGAAAGGTATTGGAATAGCATACCGGTCGTGAAATACGACGAACTTGAAACCTATTGATAAATTAGAACAGGCGTTGTGTCCTTTGAGTGGCAGAAGACCTACTTCTTCCCATAAATCAAAGCCAGTCTGGTTCCAATATTTAACGACATAGTCGCAATCAAGTTTTACCACAGGCCAGACGGTCCCAGATGCATATGTAGTGTTGCCTTGAGATATAAGCCAGTTGGAGTAGGTGATGAGTGCAATAGCGCGCAAAGCAGGTCCATCTAGCTGCTAAGTCAGGAGAAAGGCTTCATTCAAATCGAGACTAATTCCCACCTCTCTGAGGGCGGCTAGTAACGTCCTTAGTTAGTATTTGATCTGTCGCATCGAATAACGCTCTTACCCCCACGCACCCGTGAAAGCTGTTTCGTCGATATTGAACTTTGGTTCGCCTGTCCAAGACGTCAACTTCATCTATCAGCTAGCGGGGGGCAACTGATACGTACCAAGACCAGTGTCACCGGCGGTTCCAGAGGGGTTTGAGACTTGTTGAAGAATCTTTTGAGCGGAAACAAAATTGTCGATGGTTGTTCTGGTTGTGGTGTCTCTCCCCGTAACATATCTAGAAGACACTGAGAGGTATACTGAAGTAGGGTTGAGTATGGCTTACTCGTCAATGATAAGCTTGAGCACAAGAGACGCATCTCGGGTCCAGGTGTAAAGGTAGTCGGGGTTGCTGGTGGAAGGGCTGGCGATGACGATTCCAGCTTTTGCGCCGGACGATTTCGAGCCCGAGGGACCGATGTTTGCAACAAGACCTGCCTTTGCGATTGGACTTTCAGTCGCAATGTATGAATCCACTGAAGTTTGGGCCGTAACCCCAAGGGCAACAAGCCCAAAGAAAAGAAAGCCTAAATGCATGTTCACCCAAGGCAATGCCAAAGAGGCTCTCTGTCACGGACTTTTATACTAGCCTTCACACAATCGGCAACTATGGGATGGCGCAAGCCAACAAATGATCCACAATAGGAAGAACACCCCCGCAAGGTTCACGTGTCACGAGATCGCGTCTTGGACATCTCGGCTGAAAAAAAGAAAAGGAGAGTTGCCACTTGTGGCGTTCAATGCAGAAAAAGTATCGACAGATTTCAAGATAGTAGTGCAAGTCGTCCGACATGACGCACAAACCTTAAAAAGAACGAGACGCAAAAGCTAAGTAGAGGTACTAGAGGTGATAGACCTCGAAGAGAATGTATTGTTCAGAGAAATTGGAAACACGTCGAATAACGGTTCTAAGGTAGTTTGAAGCGGTGGTAACTGAGCTAGAAAGACAAAAAGAGTGAGGTGAATGTGAAAATGCGCTGTTTAGAAAAACTTGCACTAGGCCGCCCAAATAAGTAAACGCATCAAGATTACTACTTCCTGGTATCCCGAACCCACTTCTCTGCTATATCCTTCTCGATGACGACGCCATGTGCTGCATTCAGATGCCTGCGCAAGTCATAGGCACGGCTAAACGCGTACTCGCATGCCGGTGCTCCCGTGACAGCCGAAGAGGAAGCGCAAAGGTCTTCGAGATTGGGGTAAGGACAAGAAATGGTTCTGGGCTGTAGAATCTTCGAAACATTCCGCTGAGCACTTGAAGGCACAATGCTTGGCGGTAAGGCTGGCACATCATCAGACGATGAGTTACCGCCATCCCCAGATGAACTGGCATTCGAGTGTACCCTAGCTAAATGCCTCTGGAGGAGGTGTTTAAAGCCAAATGCCCGTCTACAGTCTTGGTAGGGGCATATGTGCTTGCGTATTCCGAGATGGTTCACATTGACATGGGTTGTCAATGCCTTTTGCTGTATCAAATAAATTAAAGGGCGAAATATAATGGGAATGGAAAAGACTTGCAGATTTGAAATCTTTGGTACAATCCGGAACCTTGCAGACCCAATCACGACCAACTTCTCCTCCTCGCCTTCGTTTAGCGGGGGGCTCGTCTACATCCGCAGAACGTCCCTGTTGAAGGGCCAGATTGGCTTCAAGCTCCCGTTGTTCGTGGAGTTTCAGATGAGATCGAAGATTGCTCCGCGAAGCAAAGGTCCTAGCATTACAAGATGGATGAGGACATGTCGGTGGATGGGCCGTGCGAATATGGTGTTGTAAACTAGTCCAATTGGGAAAGAAGCGTGGTTCGGAGGCCTCTTCTGGCAAACATTCTGAGTACGAACAGGTGTACCTTTTTTCTACAGGAAGATGAATTTTGCCTTCAGGAGACGGTTTGCTGCAATCAACAACTTACCATCATGAGTTTTGAGATGTATTTTCAAATGCTGGTTCATTGAGAAGGATTTAGGACATCCCTTATATGTGCATTGGAAAGGCTTGGTCCCGGGGGGAGAATGAATGGCAGCAACGTGAGCTTTTAATTGGTTATGTTTACCAAATGCCTCGTTACAACCTGGAACAACACACTAATTTAGATTAACAAAAGAGGGGGAAAAGAAGAAGAAAATGCAACTTACAGGAAATTGTTTGGAACCATTATGCCAGTTAACATGAGCACTTAAATGCTGCGAAGTCCAGAACCGCTTCCCACAACTGGGCAAAGAGCAGACTAATGGGCGTGCTGACTCTGGCATATGGCTTCGAATATGTGCTTGAAGGTGACTTTCTCGAAGGTACGACTTGTTGCATGTTGCACACACAAAAGGACGCTACGAGAGATGGGCGAAATGTCTCATGGAGAGAACCAACACAAACCTGTCCGGTATGGGACCTCTCGTGTTCCTCAAGACGACATAGCTTGGAATAAGATTTGAAGCAGCCAGAAAACGTGCACGTGTACCGCTTGGAGATTTTGGGATCGGTGAATACAAGTTTGCCGTCGACTAGAGCGGGAAGAGATGTGTCTGGAAGAGACTCTGGCTCTGTTTCCTGCTCGAATTCCGAGGCTTCAGCTTCCGAACTCGAAGTAAAATGCAAAATATAAGAAGCCGATGTCCTCGATTTGCGTTTGCCAAGAGCACTGGCTGTGGTTGACCCACTGTCCATGATATCGGTGTCGGCAGGCAAAAGCCAAGATTCCCAAAAAAAAATTGTGACATGCCGGCGCGCCTGACTTTCATTCTCCTCCAACCCTCACCGCTACCTTCCCCCGCATCACTTCCAGGCATGAGACGTCGCTGCATTGATATCCGCCAAAAACATCAGTCTCTTCCCCTCGTCGAAACGCTCCTTCGCGTCTATGTCAGGCATCCCACCTTGTTCCCGTCAGTCAGATCTAGTCGCTCCCTGGTTTTTCTCGAGCGCGTGTTTGACAC